TTGTAGAAACCCGGAAAAAAGTTGTGAAGACAAAGGAAAACTTCTTCGCTAATGAATTGGTTAAAAAAGGAAAACTGAGGCAGATCAAACCTAATAGAATCCCGAAAACTGAAATTTGGCAAGAGAATTCTGGAATTGATAACAAGACAGAAGTACGAAAAACGGTAAGGTCTTTCTCATAATTTTGGTGATTAGGGTTGTTTCTTCTATGCTTGCAATCAAAGTTTTTGTCTTTTTTAGTCTGATTTTCAATGAATTGATGTGTTCCCCCAACTGACTCGAAAGCAAACTCTGTTTATATTAGTGTGAGCTAATTCAGATATCAGACCGAGCAGAGGAGATTTGAGGATTGGTTTATTATGAGCAGTATTTGTGAGTTAAGTGACGATTTGCTTGTGAAGATACTGTCATTGGTTAAGACAAAAGAAGCTGTGGCCACTAGTCTTTTGTCAAAACGATGGCTTTATCTATGGAAACTGGTTCCAAGGCTTGAGTATTGTGCTACAATGGATACGCCAGGCTCAGATTTTATTGACAATTTTCTGCTGCTGAGCAAGGCTCCAGTTCTAGAATCTTTCTATATCAAACTTGGGGAGAATTGTGCTCCTGAAGAACATGAAAGATGGGTTGATATTGCAGTTGCTCGACATGTGCGTGTTCTTGAGCTTCTTCATGACCGTTTCTTCTTACGTCCCATGGCATGTCCTAGAAGCTTGTTTGCATCTAAAGGCCTTGTGGTCTTACGGCTCCAAGATGTGGCGATTTCTGATATTCCTTCCACAGTATTTCTCCCGTCCCTCAAGACTCTGTCCCTTCTGTGTGTCAGATTCGTTTCCAAGGATGAACTGGTTCATAGGCTTTTATCCGCTTGCCCTATACTTGAAACACTGATTGTACGTCCATGGCTCCAGTTCACCGAGGTGCCAAGCTTCACAATTGTGGTCCCAACATTGCAGAACTTACACATAATGCGGAGACCACCTAATCAGTTAATAGAAGTTGGGGAGTATGTCATCGATACACCTTCTCTAAAGACTCTAGTTTTTTTTGATAAATATGGTTGGTTCCGTTCATTAGTGAAAATGCCAAAGCTGGTGAAGGCAGAGGTCAAGATTAGACAAGAGGACTCTAAAAATCTTATGGGATGTCTTACCTCAGCCAAACACCTTTTCTTATGTCTTAACTCAGCCAAACCACTACTAATGGCAAAACCTGATGCGTTTTTCTGCCAGCTCGAGTATCTAGAGCTATGTACTAAATGCTCTTTAGATTGGTTATGTCTTCTACTCAGACATTCCCCTAAGCTGAGAGTTTTGAGGTTAATTCAAGTAAGTTTTTCAGTCCATACCTATATAATGGTGCAGGTTCACCCTTGAATCTCATTTTGGGAAAACTCTGTTTCATATTTCAGGGAAGCTGCGGCTTGGCCGGATGTTCCAAAGATCAGTGGGAGCGACCGTGTTGTGTCCCTGAATGTTTGGTGTCAAGCCTCGAAATTGTTGAGTGGATTGGGTACCAAATAAGAAAAGCAGAGGAAGAAGTGGCCATTTACATCTTAGAGAAGGCAAACCGCCTAAAAAAGATGACTCTATTCGTCAAGTCTGTACGTTGATAGATTCGACGTTCAGGGTGCCCTTGGAGCAGCGTTGATATTTTTAATCGATCTATCTCAAAGTTTCTAGCTTAATACAAAGATTTTGCCCATTTTTTTATTAAAAAATAACCGAAACAATAAGCCCATTTTTTTATT